GGGGGGGGGAGACGAAAATACCACCTGAAAAGCAATAACTGACATCAACCAGACTACAATTATCCCGTGGAAGGCACGTAGAAGCATTTACTCCTTTGTCATCAAAGATTCCCCGCTTAGTTCAGGATTAGAAGGAGAATGCGCACTGGGAACCAATGATTTGACTTCATCCACTGAGGGTTCCTCTTTCTCCATCTCTCCGGGTTTCTCCTCTGGCTCTCCCGTACCAGGTGCTTTTTCAGTCACTTGGTCTGCCTGCTCTACAGCTGACATTTTGTCATCTGTTTGCTCTGCACTAGTATAAAGATCTTCTTGTTCTTCTAAAGATTCTGAAAAGAAAAAGATTCAAGAGTTTAGAAAGATCGAAATGTTAAAACTTCAAAGTAAGGCAAGCAAAAATAAAAGCACAAAACACACACAAACTAACAAGCAGGAGACTGGTCTAATATTATTCTTTAAATTGTTTTGATATGTAATTAATTGCCTAAAGCATACCATATAAGAGCTGGTATGAAAGAAGATAAACAACAATTTCAGCAGAACGAACATGTTTGACCGCTCTAGTTGTTTAGTGTTGTCAAATTGGTTCTGACTCATAGCAATCCTGTAGAGGGTTCCGGAGGAGTAGCTGGTGGGTTTGAACTGCCACCCTTGTGGTTAGCAGTCCAATGCTTATCCTACAGCACCACACTTTGTATGATTCCATGTTTTTACTTAGAGCCTCATATTTTCATTAAAAAGTTGCTAATACACATTTGAAAGTTGAATGTCCAGAAAGTAAAGTTCCAACAGAATTATGTACTGTAAGACAAATAACCCAGCAAACAAAGCAAATACATTCATTCCTTCACTACGTATTTCATTTCCTAAAGGAACTGTCTCCCTAGAAGTTGGAGATCCTGTGCATAGCGCATGACTATGTAGATGAGAACTATTTGTCACACTGATATAATCTCCAAGTATGGGGGAAGTAAAATCCACACTTTCCTAAAAACATGGTAAGTTCCCCCTTGGCCCTCTGCAAGACAACCCCACAGTCTTTAAACTTCTTGATCAGAATATGTGACCAACCTAGAATGCTAAGGATACAAGAGGTTCCCCCCATCTCCTTTAATTCTTAAACTTTAACTTTAAGTTTTACTAAATTCAACTCCTTTAATGGTGAGGCATTACAGGATAATGTGCTGGACTGCAAGGTCACTTTGAGCCACAAGGTTAGTGGTTTAGACCCAACAGCTACTCCTCGGAGACCCTATACAGTGTCGCTATGAGTTGGAACCAACTAAATGGCACTTAACAACAACAATGAGCATTTAGGAGCCCTGGTTACACATTCAGCTTCTAACCAAAAGGTCAGCAGTTCGAACCCACAAGCCACTCTATGGGAGAAAGATGCGGCAGCTTGCTTCCATAAAGATTGTTGTTGCTGGTGTTAGATGACATCAAGTCAATATGACTCATAAAGACCCTATACACAACAGAACAAAACACTACCTAGTCCTGCACCAACCTTACAGTCATTGCTATACTGAGCCAATTGCTGCTGCCACTGTGCCAACCCATCTCATTGGGGGTCCTCTTTTTTTACTCTGGCTCTTCCATTTTACTAAACATGGTATCTTCTTCAGGGACTGGTCCCTCCTGACAATATGTACAAAGTATGAGACACGAAGTCTGGCCATCCTGTCTTCCAGGGAGCATTCTGGCTGTTCTTCTTCCAACACAGATTGGTTTGTTCTTTTGGCAGTCAAATCGTACTTTTAATATTCCCTGCCAATACCATAGCTCAAATGCTTCTACAGTCTTTCTTACTCACTGTCCAGCTGTCACAATGCTAATGAAGTTACTGAAAATACCATGGCTTGCTCAGAAGCACGTTAGTCCTCAAACTGACATCTTTGCTCTTCAACACTTTAAAAGAGGTCTTATGCAGCAGATTTGCCTAATGCAATACGTCGTTTGATTTCTTGACTGCTGCTTCCATGAGTGTTGATGGTTTACCCAAGCAAAATGAAGTCTTTTACAACTTGAATCTTTTCTCCATTAATATGGATGTTATTGATCAGTCCAGTGGTGAGCATGTTTTCTTTACATTGAGGTGCAACCCATACAGAAGGTTGTGGTCTTTGATCTTCATCAATATTTTAAGTCCTCTTCACTTTCAGCAAGCAAGGTTGTATCATCTGCATAGTACAGGTTATTAATGAGTCTTCCTCCAACCCTGATGCCATGTTTTTCTTCATAATCCAGCTTCTTGGGTTATTTACTCAGCATACAGATTGAGTAAGTATGGTGAAAGAATACAACCCTGGCCACACCTTTGCTAATTTTAAATCATTCAGTGTTCCCTTGTTCTGTTTGAACTACCTCTTTGTCTGTGTACAAGTTTCTCATGAGCACAATTAAGTGTTCCAGAATACTTATTCTCTGCAATGCTGTCCATAGCTTATCATGATCCACATAATCAAAAGCCTTTAAATAGTCAATAAAGCACAGGTCAATATCTTTTTGGTATTCTTTGCTTTTAGCCAAGATCCATCAGACATCAGCAATGATATCATTCATTCCACATCCTCTTCTGAACCCTGCTTGAACCTCTGGAAGCTCTCTGTCAATGTATGGCTACAGTCGTTTTTGAATTATCTTTAGCAAAATTTTGCTTGCATGAGATATTAATGATATTGTCCAAGGATTTCTGCATTCTGTTGGGTCACTTCTCTCTTTGGAATTGGCACAAATATGGATCTCTTTCATTCATTCAGTTGTCCAGGTAGTTGTCTTCCAAATTTCTTGGCATAGATGAGTGAATGAGTCCAGTGCCGCATTAGTTTGTTGAAAGATTGCAATCTGTGCTCCATCAATTCTCAGAGGCTTGCTCTTTGCCAATGCCTTCAATGTACCTTGGACTTCTTTCTTCAGTATCACTGACTCTTGACCATATGCTACCTCTTCAAATGGTTGAACATCAACCATCTCTTACTGGTACAGTGACTCTGTGTATTCCTTTCATCTTCTTCTGATGCTTTCTGTATCGTTCAATATTTTGCCAGAAGAATCCTTCAATATCGCAAGTCAATGCTTGAATTTTTTCTTCAATTCCCTCAGCTTGTGGAATGATGAGCGTGTTCTTCCCTTTTGGCTTTCTAATTCCAGGTCTTTGCACATTTCATTATAAAATTTGATTTTGTTTTCTCAAGCTGACTTTTGAAATTTTCTATTCAGTTCTTTTACTTCCTCATTTCTTCCATTTGTTTTAGCATCTCTATGCTAGAGAGCCAGTTTCAGTGTCTCTCCTGACATCCATACAGAATACAGTCCTGAAAACCCTATGGCACAGTTCTACTCTGTCCCACACAGCTGGAAGGAGGTGAAACTGGTTTGATGGCAGTTGGTTTGGTTTTTAGTTTTTAATGATAGCAACATTATTAATTTTAAAGAACTGGAGACAGGTGGTAATAGGAGACAAAGTTAGAAATCTAGCTTTTAGGGTGTTCGTTTGCTTTTGTAAAAAAATGGCAATTAATATTCTTGCTAAAACTATATGGTTAATATATCAGCTAAACTAAAAATCAGCTTAGAAGATCCCTTATGATATACTCTTTAGAAGGGATGTCATTCCCTAATTTCTATCCCTCACAGAAGATCCCTTACGACAGACTACAAATGTTTCTGATTCAAAAGCTCTAGACCCAATATTTGTATCAAGTTATAGTTAAGTGCCTTGGAAAATGCAGACGAGTTAAAAAAAAAAAAAATTATATATAATTATGTGTGTGTATAAGTTTCACTAAAAAATTAAATGTTATATTCACAGAGGTTAACATGGAGGTCTTCCATGTTCACAGTTTTACCATACTAGCTTTAATAAATACAAATCATTTATATATCTCACATTCTATAAAAAGACTTCGTTGTTGTTAAGTGCCATGGAGCCAGTTTCAACCTTGTATAGGGTTTTGAAAGTTTTAAATCTTTTTGTGGGAGTAAAAGTCATATCTTTCTCCTATGGAGCAGCTAGTGGGCTTGAACCATCAACCTAATGGTTCATAATGCAGTGTTCATCCTATGAAGCCACCATGCTACCAATACCAAGACCTTAGGAATACTGTAAAAGAATAATTCCCTTAAACAGACACCGTGGACTCTGATTTACAGAATTAACTTCAAGTGTCTTCCCCTTTTTTCTATATAAAATGAAAGACCCAAGTTCCACAGTGAAGGACATCCAAGTTAAAGTGGTTTTACTGTATGAAAATTTTGTACAATTAAGTAAAACAGGAATGTCCACAAATCATGATACTTCTGAAAAATGTCATAACAATCCTATTTCTATCTAAATATGGAACTTAAAGTAGCACTGTTGCACCACTATGTTGTTGTTAGGTACTGTTGAGTGGATTCCAACTCAGCGACCCTTACAGAGTTTCCAAGGAAAAGCTGGTGGGTTTGAGCTGCCAACCTTGTTGTTCGCAGTCCAGTCCTTACCCTACAGTGCCACAGCAGGAGTCCATGAATCTTATAAAAAGCCAAATCAGAAAGGAGCAGGCAGTTTGATGTTTCTAGTTGAATGTTCCAGGGCACAAAGAAAACCATGAAGTATAGCTGAAATTCTATGGCTCTGGATTTCTGCTACATCAGCAAGCAAGCTTCTCAGTGGCACGCTTCAGGAGCCAGCAGCCACTCAAAATTCTACCCTTACCCAGAGTAGAATATTCACTCACAGTTTTACACTTGCCAAGAACTTTACTATTTTGTTATAGTTTATTAAGTCTTCATCAACAAACCAATAAGCTACAAGAAATGAAAAAACAGAAAGCTCGAAAACCAGAACTTAATTCACCAATAAACTTGTTTAAGTGAACATGGGCCCACACAGTTTGTCATATGCTGACAGACTGTTTCAGTACTGCACTGAAATAGGAGAGGTGTCAAAATTCATGGCTTACCATATTAAACCTTTATGGTGTTATTATTTTCAGAAACACAGACTAATAAAAACACATTTCTAGTCAAAACCAATTTAATTCAGTAATTCTAGGGTCCATAAGGAGTCCTGGTGTGGCACTGCTGGATAAGCACTGGACTGCTAACCACAAGATCGGCAGTTCAAGCCCACCAGCTGCTCCTCAGAAACTCTATACAGGGCTGCTATGAGTTAGAACCAACTCCATGGAACTAACAACAAAAAAAGGTCCATAAACTACTGGTGTGATGCTGTAGGATAAAGTGTCAGACTGCAAGATCAGTTTGAACTGGAAGGTTGAAAGTTCAAACTCACCTGCTGCTCCTCGGAAATCCTATATTGGGTCGCTATAAGTTAGAATTGACTCAATGGCACTTAACAACAATAATAATAATATATGAGTTTAAAAATAAATGCAAGCAAACCATATATTATCATAAATTTTAAAGCAATATAAAATACCAAGTTTAAAAATCAATATTAAACTCCATAAAGTATATGGGAGAGTAAAGAAAATAGTGACATGATGGGTGGGACCTCAAAATAATCGAAGCCCCTATTAATGGCTACTTTTCTTCCTCCAGATTAATTTGCAGAATACCATAGTAAATCTTAATAGCACTAACACTACAAAAATTCGATATGTGCCATGATGCTTTTACTACAGGCATCTGCTAGTCTAAATGAGACCAGTGTTTGATGTTTGGATGCCAATGCCATTTTGTGAGAAGTCATCCAAACACGATCTAAGTGAACTAGGTGCAAGATTAACAGAGAATTACATACCAGTTTAACAACTAAACCACAGAGTTTTAAAATCAAAGTCTTTAATGTATTCCAAAAGTACTTACTTCATTTCTAGGGGAGAGCACCATTTGCCTATTCTAATAAAAACAGTAAATTTTCCCAGTGACACTGTGGTTTAAAAAAGCTCGGTGGAAAAGGCATATTTAAGAAGACGTTAACATTTGGATATAAAATACTGAAAGAGAAACTAACTCTTGTGTTCACACTAATTAAAAGGGACCATTCTTCCCTGCACAGCACCATTTGAAAACTAAGACAACAGTGTTACCTTAATGACCTATTTCCAGCTGTAAGAAAATCTTTTCAAATCAACTTTGGAATTTGTAATGCCAAGAAAGCAATATACTACAATGTAATAATCTTTAAAATGACCCATGGAATTTGTTCCTTTTCCCATAACAGTATTCTTGAGAGAAGCTTTTTCTACTAATAGAAACAGTTGGCTTCCAGTTGTTTGGTCAAAGTCTCAGCTAGACAGCTCAGATTCATAAAACTGAGTGTTACTGTATAATAAACAACACTGCTTTACCTATAAAGCACACACATGTGAAAAACATGTAATAACGTCACCTTACTTTTAGGTTTCTATTGAAAATCTATCAACTGAAAGAAGAATTTCCTTTAAAAATTATAGTCTAGCAAATAACTTCTTCATATATTTTCCAAAGGAAATTTAGGTTAACATGTAATATGTGAATTCTGCTACAAGGTAGATCAAGCCTTTAGGAAATATTGGTACTTTAGCAAATTCATTTAGATTCTTACCTTTCTTCTTTTTTACAACAGAAAAAAAAAAATCTGGTTTGATAACACATCTATTTGTGCAGAATATAAAATGTATCCAAAGGAACTTTGTCAAATTAAAGCTGACAATTGGTCTTTGAACTTACAGGTTTAAAAGAGAGAGTAGTTTTTATCAAATTTTCCTACCTCAAGGAAAACAGCCAATTTATATTTAAGAAGCAAAGGCAAAAGCTTAAGGAATAAAATTCAATTAAATGATAACCAACTATAATAACTAGGATTCCACACAGAGAATGTTTAGTTATTTACCACTGGTATAAAAAGTCAATTAGACACACAAGGGTTTCATTATTAAGCAATAATTGATAACTAAACTATTAGTTGAAGGTATTTTATAAAAAGGAGATAAGAAGACCCGATTTCTACATCTAAAACAAACATGCAAAAACCTACTCCAAAAGCCACTTTATTTTTGGGTACGCTGCATATAATTTAATGTAAATAAAGGTATAAACTTTGTGGATGTTTTAAACACACAGAATTCAACAAAATATATTATTGAGAAAATTACCTTCCTAGAGCATTGTAACAAACAGTATTGAAAACAGTATTTTGTTTAAAAGAAAGGAAGCGAAAGACAAATCAGATTACCAAGATACATTTTATCTTACATAAATTTTATCTTCTATTTTTGATAATGCTGGTTAGATGAATCATGAGTTTTATTATTATCAAATCATTTCTAGTTGAATCAAAGCTGTTTTCTACTAAAAAATATGAGACCTAGGTCTAGAGAACTGAGAAATGAACACATAGTATTATCAAAGTTGTTTTTTAATGTGCTCAGCAAAGTCACAAGGTAGTATACTAACAGTGCTTTGGACTCTTTGTATTGTCTGACTAGCACATTGGACAAAAAGAATGCTGCACATGAGGTATTTTGGATATTGCATTAAAAAAAAAAATCAAAACGGATAAACCACTTTAATATGACTTAGTAGAGATAAACCACTTTTGTGTGACTAACCAACAAGGAAATTGAGAAACTTAAAAGTAATTCATTACTTTGTCATACTCTAGCTATCAATCAATGCTTTCAGATAAAAAGACACTCCCTATTACTAATTTGTTGTGTTTCTCTAATGCTTTATTACCAAAATTTCTGGATATACAGTTCAAGAAAAAGTTCTAGGAATTCAAATGAGCAACTAATGTGAGAAATTCTCCTAGGTTGCTTTCTTCGATGAAAAGCTTTCCAAGATTCCACACATTTTTCTAACAAGTGGTCCAAAGATTTTTTTCTAAAAGTCATCAAAAATACAAAATCTTCCAGTACCAGAATCCAGACAAAACTTAAGACTGAAAAAAAAATGGAGTTTTCATTAAGTCTAGATTATTCATATAAATGGTTCCCAAATATTCACTGAAAAGTTCAGATATAAGAAAGTTACCTGTTTTTCCATCTGTGAATTTAATAATGGACTTGCTATAGTTCTATCAGCATTAAAGAGCTATTTTAAAACAGTATACATGTTTTTTTCAGATCTCAAGTTTTAGATCACTGAAAAATTTATAAATCATAATTTCAAGCCAATTACACTGGTTGTCAGCACAGAGAGTAGATTGAGATGATACCATCTTTTTAAATAGTTCAATTTAATCATAGGGTATGCAGTCAAAGTTCAAAACAAATAAAGCCTTCATCTGTTCATCAGAAATGCTTCCAGTCGTTTACTAAAGGAATCCAGCTTGGAAATGAATATTGTGCAACATAGTGTTGAATAGGAGTCTTGGAGAAAAGTCTCAGTCTTCTGGAAAGCCAAAGAAGGAAAAAAGTGCTCATAGACATTCTGATGAATCCAAAGAGAAGAATGGGAAGCTTACTAGTCTAGAGACTACCTTAACCAAACGGAATTGATGCTTCAGTTTCTAGCACTGAAGTTTTGTCTTCACCTATTAACATTACCTTCTGGGGGTTGAGTTTGAGCCTGTTAGACTTCATTCCGGAGATTTCAGACAGAAAATGAGACATCTGGGGTATTGCTCCTCCTAGATTAGATGAGAAGGAAAGGTAGAGCTGCGTGTTGTTTGCTAACTATCCATCTTGACTTTAGCAGAGATATTAAGCATGGGATTCACTATTAAGATGTTTTATATTTGGTGGCTCCGTATTTCATTGTATTTTTTGGTCCCAACTACTACCAACTTTCAAATATTCACTTTAGCTGTCAAGAGCACTAAGATGGACTTCAATTTTTCCTCTAGGCATCTTCAGTATGAAAATTCTTTAATTTTCAGTTCCAAGAGGCTGCTTTAGCAAAGCAGATGGTTTGCGTGTGACAACATGCAGCTCAGAGCATGACTCCAGCAAAACAAAAATCTTTGACATTGTGTTTGGAGTTGATGTCTCAGACTTGGATAAGATGAATGTATCAATTCAGTGTTGGAAATATACAAGCCTTTGTCATGGCTATCTGTACTTGAATTCATTTTGATATTTGCTAGTAAGCTGAAGCCAAGCTTGATTCAACACATGTATTTTAGAAAACTCTTCAAAGTAAAAAAAAAAAAAGATACTAAAATCTAATACTAACCTTCTGATATGTGAAAGTTTACTACAGTTAAATCAATGTTTTCTACCTTCAGTGCTTTTATGAAGAAGTTAAATATACATAAATAATGATTCTATGAAATTAAAGGGATGAATATTGACTGGGTAGATAAACTATACATACCAGGCTGAGCACCAATTTTTTGGACATAATTTTAGTCATCTTCCTAATTCAGAACTGTTTAACAAACAGTTCTATTGGCTTAACAAAACTAACACTCCTGAATGAACAGCAAAAAATAGATGGCAGAAATAGTTGGCAAGCTTTTCCAATTTTTTGTGATACTGCTTCAAGAATTACTAAGACAACTGTAAGAAGAAATTCTAAAACCTGGCAAATTCCGTTTCTCAACAGTAAGGTTGATTCTACATCACAGGTATAGCATCATAAATTATATTAATCTCATGTTGTTATTGTTAACTGCCGTTGAGTCAATTCCGACCCATAGCGACCTTGTATAGGGTTTTCCATGGAGCAGCTTGGTGTGTTTGAACAGCCAACCTTGTGGTTCAAATGGACCTTGTAGTCCAGTACATTAACCCACAGCACTACATCAGGACTCCATTAATCTCATGGTCTTCCATAAATTACCTCTTTCAAAGATATACCAGTTCTAGGCAAGGATGGCTTACCAGTTCCAAAGCTTTCTACTTTCTGATAATTTCTAGCAATTCAAATGTACATGCAAGCCTAGCTTACCAAGTTAATCACAAATCTTATAAGAATGCATCCTTATGAGTAGTTGTCCATAATCCTCAACCTGCTTCACTGAGATCATTCAAAATAAGATTCTAAGAAAACATCAAATCTCCCAATAGTTATTACAAGACGTAAATCCATAAACTATACTTACTTAGCTACTGCTAGATGCTGCTTATCACAATATAATCTCCATGTCAAAACACATCCTAACAATCATGCAGGAGACTACAGTATCAAAGCAATAACAGATGTATGCATGTTGCAAAAACTGATCAATTAATCTACCCTTATATAAATAAAAGCATTATGCTTTTATTGTTAAATAACACACAGTATTAAGAGACAAACATTTTAGATTAATATGTCCATACCTTCGGGAGCTTGGCTTTCTGACGGAACCACATTTCCTGATGTCAAGGGACCAACTGAACTGGCACATTCCACGGCCTGCCTTTTCTCAAAACTAAACTCTGGAAGTCTGGGAGCCTGAGGTCTGGTTTTTCTTGCAGGATTCAAGAAAAAACAGTAGGCACATCGAAAAGCTGCAGAAAAAAAAATTTTTTTTAATAAAATCATAAACCAAAGAAAGTTCAAGGACTAGTTAGATAACTTGCAAGATTACTACTGCAAATACTCCAAAGAGCCTTTCAAAAGTTATTTATTCCTTATGAAAGGCACATGTTGTTTTAATAATATTATGACACAGGTTCAATCTAAAGCAAATTCTAAAGCACATTTTCTAATCATTATTAGAATTAGATTGCCAATTTTATAGCAGAAAAGGCATAGTAAGTTACATGGGTTAATGAATGGTAAAGCAATATTAATAATGATCTAGTTACCAAAACTATTATGGACTTTAAACATTCTGAGTCTTTCATTTCAAAATAAAAACTGTGATGTCATATTTTGGAAGCATAATTAGTTTGTTGTTAAATGCCATCGAGTCGGTTCCGACCCAAAATGACCCTGTATAGGGTTTCTAAAAAGTGGCTGGTGAGCTTGAATCACCAGCCTTGTAGTTCAAATGACTTTGCAGTCCAGCGCATTAGCCCACAGCACCACCCCAGGACTCATAATCACTTTAGTGCAGCAGTTTTCAATAATAACTATACATGAGAATGAGAATCATCTTTGGAATGGTAAAGAAACTACCAATTCCTGGATACTACCCCAGATCAATTAAACCAGATCTTTGGAGATGAGTCATGGGCATCTGAATTTTTTTAAATCCATCAGGTAATTCTCATGCACAGTAAACCTTAAGAACTGGCCTAGAGGTTGTGCATTGTCTGAAGAAGAAACCTACATTCCCTTTCTGTTTTGCTATGAATGCAAGAAAAATATGCCTGACCAATGTATAGAAGTAGTTTCTATATTAAACTGATATTCCAAGAAAAGTGGCAAAATAAAATACTTAAGAGTAAACCATTTTAATTCAAATGGTGTAAACATTCTTACCAATGTATTCGAATTCTTCCTTCAAAGCCATGCCATTATGAGAAAAACACTGCTGACAAATAAGGGCATACCTACACAAAAATGAAAATGAACAGACCAATTAAAAACATACACAAAGCTCAAAAGAGAAACTGCTTTAGCCATCATGGTTTATATTTTATCATAGCAAAATATGCCACGAAGTCCTGGCGTAGCACTGTGGATCAGCACTGGACTACGCACCACAAGGTTGGTGGTTTAAACCCACCAGCCACTCCTTGGAAACTCTACACAGGGTCACTATGAGTTGGAACCAACTCGATGGCACTTAACAAAAATAACAACAAACATGCTATGCCAAATTAGACGCTGCTTAGTAAACCACAATCATGTTTTTTTAAAACCAAAATTCCAATCATTGTAAAAATTTAACTTAAACATTAAATTAAAAATAAATCAGGTAACAGTTAAATGAATATATCTCTACTAAGTAGCCAAAGCACATTTAAAATCAGACACTTACATTCTGCTGTTTTCCAAAGTCTATTCCTTGGGAACAACCCCCCACCTCCACTGCCATCAAGTCAGTTGTGACTCAGTGATCTTGTAGGACTTGGTGGAAGAGCTCCTGAGAGTGTCTGAGACGATATAGCTTTACAAGAGCAGACCGCCTCATCTTTCTCCAGAATATTGGTTGATAGGTTTGGCCTTGTGGCTAGTACCCCAATACTTAACCCACTACTCAACCAGGGTTCCTTATTCCTTGGGATGATAGCTTCCAAATCTTTGGTCAGATAAGATGGGACCACCTCAATAATATTACTAAAGCCTCTGAGAAGTCTTGCAATAAAGAAATGTAATTCTGTTTCATCCAAGAGTCAGTGTTTATAATCATGATTCCAATATTTTCTCCAGTTAAACACTGTCCTCATTTTCAGCTTATACATTTTTTTGTTCTGCACGTTTACACCTAACAAATATATGATACTAGCAAACTTTATTCTATCTGTTTTAAATTCATACAATTTATTGTATTAACAGTAAATTCTGGCCCCTTTAACAATTGATATCAACCAGTAAACTTACCTGATATCTATTCTACTATCTTATGAATTTTGTAAGGCTCTATTTATATCATGTTTATCTTCATCACTATGAGAACCAAATAAAAGTTATAGTGAGTATCAAATAAGACAAGAGAATTTAATGTGCTGACTAAATACATGTAAATTATCTTCAACATTATCAAAATTCTTACCATCACCAAATCTAGTACTGACAACTACAAAAACCCATTTCTCTCTGGTAGCGTAGTGGTTACAAGTCAGGCTGCTAAACTCATGGTCAGCAGTTCAAAACTACTAGCAGTTCTATGTGAGAAAGATAAGGCTTTCTGCTCCTGTAAAGATTTACACCCTCAGAAACAATCCTATGCAGGATCACTATGAGTTGGAACTAACTCCACAGCATACCACCACCATCATCAGGTTTTCACTATTTTTGTCCTCTTCAAGCTTAACATTTCAATGATATTATTCAGTTTTCCTGAAAATAATCTTATAGCTTATGTGGCACTATAGCATAAACACTAGACTGCTAAGTGCAAGGCCAGTAGTTCAAACCTACTAGCTGTTCCTCGGAAACCCCATACAAGGTCACTATAAATCAGAACCAACTCGATGACACTTCACAACAACAATCTTATAGTAGGGTTAATGATATTTTTTTCCAAATTGATTTTACCTAGAACTGCTTTATCCAAATTCATACTAAAAACAATTGAATATATATGTTTTTTAAAGGTTAGAAAATACTCATAAACTTGTCCAATTAGGAAATAGGAGACACAAAAAGAGACACTATCTAATACACACACATCCATACACACCATGAGCAATGAAAATATAGTTCTCATTCATCTAACATAATGAAAATTACCTGTTCTGTGGACCATCACCAACTAAATATTCAACAATTCTATCCAGAGCACCTCGTTCTCGAGGGAGAATGGGTCTTGCTAGAGGTGGCCCTGGAGGATGAAGACCTGCCAATAAATAAACATAACAGTAAAATTTAATTCAAACTATCAAGAAATACCTATGCTTCTTATAACTTTTAAAGATTTTTTTATAAAACAAAAATAATTATTTTTACAAATCTCTTTGAAGCATTCAAATCTTCATTTAAAGTACTGTACAAAAATAGGACTTTAGGTGGAATCCTAAGGCCCATCCAGAACCTTTTGAAGTGGGACATCCCTATTTGAAAGGACATGCAGACCGGCCTGGAGCAGCTAGAGGAACAGAATATATTTCTTGAAAGACAGACCAGCAGGAAAAATCCAAAACAAAAATAGTCGTATGATTGGCTACTACAAGAACGATCAAGCTATTTGCGAGGCAGTCATCATGGCAAGCAATCAAGTCCCTTCAGGACAAACCCCCCTCCAAGACTGAAACACCAAGGGAACACATGAGTAGGCATGTAAGCTTACAGACAACCACACTGGTCTACTGGGAAGTGGAAGAGGGGGACAGGCAGCAAATGAAGATATGGGCTGAGTTCAATTACATTTCATAGAATCCTGTCAGCCTGGAGTTGAGAGAGAGAAGAGGAAGGGCTGTTTGGTCCAAAGTGTAGTGATATCTGGGGACTCCTGAGCCCATGGACAAGGGCAGAGCCACGGAGGGCTAAGACAGAGCCACAGAGGGCTAGAACTGAGAGTGAAGTGTCCAGCTAATATGAAGTGAGGGGAGACAAACAAGAAGATCCAAACTTTAAACAGGATCCATTCAACCTAACTTTGATGGCTTGATGATCAGAACTTGACTAGAGGAAGATTTTTTTTTAAATCTGGAAAAAGGAAACAAGTATAAATTGCTACAATTTAATGAGCTTGACCTATACTTAATATTGTAGCTTGAAATACCAACTGAGAGGAAAGGAGTCTTTACATAAAGTATCAATCCTATTCCCTCTGCATAAAGGGTTGATAGAAACGGACAACTTAGACACTGGCTATCTAAAATGGGGGAGGGGGGGCAATAAAGGCACGAAGTGACTGGTACACAAGTTTTCAAGAGGGAGTTTAGTTTCAGAGTGTGCAGAGGAAGGTAGAATCCCCACTAAATGGTTTTCATCTTGTCTAGACATTTCTGGTGAAAGGAGATGGGGATAAGATTCTTATGATTCAACAGTAACTGTTATCATAACTAATTGTGATTGTCAGAACTGTAAAGGTAAAAGTTTTGTAACAAAAACGAGAGAGTAATTAATCTTATAGTCCAAGAACAGAGGACCCTAAGACCATCAAGGGAGAAGAGCACAAGTGGAATGCGGGACCCTATCCAGAGAAACAGCGACACCAGAGATGGAAGCAGAGTTGAGGACATGGAGAGAGAGAGCAGTTGAGGACTCTAGACTCATGGAAAGTGAGGGACTAGGTGTTGGCGGCCAAGAGGCAGGCTTGCAAAATGTGCCCTTTGGTTGTCTAAATTATTATATATTCCTGAATATTTTTGTGTACATCCCCCTGCCAAAAAACAAACAAACAAAACAAAAACAAAGGGAATAGAAGCAAATACTATTGAATGATGATGCACAGAGGAGATTCCAATCAATGCAATGAGATGATGAGTGTAAAACTGATGTTCTCCCATGTAAACTATCACTCAATTCACAATAAAAACTTAAAAAAAAAATACTATACAACAAAAAAAGTACTTAACTATGTGCTACATCAGAAACACCAATATAATCTATTAGTAAATGAAATTATATTGGTTTCCAAACAGACTGATCAAAAAACTCCCCAGTTTTGAAGAATTTATGTAGTAAGTCAAAGGACTAACACTTTGGGTTGTAATAGAATAACCAACACCAGATTTATACTCCTGCCTAAAACAACTAAAAACCTGGGCAAAATATATGAAGCAATGGTTTTAAAGACACTGGATATCAAGCACTATAAAACATTAATGTATGAGAAATTAAAAACAAGATGAAAATATATTGAGCCCTCCAACTGAAAAGACTAAGGTACCACAAAGGCAAGTTGCACAGAAAGGTTGAAACCTAGTAATTTTGCTGAGTTGAAGAGTTAGAGCTGAAACTCTGGGGAGGGAAAAGCAGCTAGAATTCACAGGAAAGAATACCAGAAAGGAGAGAATGCACAAAAAAAGAATACCAAAGACCTGCAGCGGGTCACCCAAAGAATACAGCAAGCTCTGATCAACATATGCAATCAGGGTAACTATCTGAAGATTAACAACAACAAAAAAATCTAAAAGGATTAAAGGAACCGATGCTTACACATTATAACTATTTCTACCTACAAATGGGATCTATTTTTACCAGCCAAAGTGGAAACCTCATATCCCACAGTTCACTGAGTATGTTTTTAGGAGTTTGGCCTCTGAAGCTCTAATTTAAACACTGCTCTGATCACTGCCTACAAAGCAGAAAAGCAACCATGAAAATATTGCCCCCTCCCCCAGCCCAAATTAACTGTATTTCAAAACAAAGCTCAAGAATATTTATAAGAATCCAAAAATATCCAGCTTCGAGTAAGCAAAATTCACCATGTCTAGTACTGGATTAAGAGCAGAAAAACATAACTCTTTTGTGGAGAAATATTCATCAAATTTGGTCCATAAATGACATAAATGATGGAATTAGTAGACAAAGATATAAAAATACTTATTGTGACTATACTACTTCCTATGTTCAAGAATCTAAAGGCAAGTTCAGTATGTTAACTAGAGTAATGGAAGATATTGAAAAAGATACAAATTACAAACTGAACTTCAACAGATGAAAACTATAATGTCTGGAATGAAAAATCTACAGATGGGATGAACAGAAGATTAGACATGCAAAAACCAACTAAACAAGGATTAATGAATTTGAAGATTAACAACAAAACCCATATACAATCAGCGATAAACAGAGAAAATAATTTTTTTCAAAAGACCAATCATCAGAATGTTGTGGGACAACCTCAAATAGCCTAACATACGTATAATTAGAGTTCAAGAAAAAAGAGGAGGATAAAGACAAATACTTGAAAAAACAATGCACAAAAATTTTCTAAATTTGATTAAAGCTATAAACCCAAAGGTCCAAGTAGTAGCAGTGGTGTGCCGTGGAGTCAGTTCCAACTCATAAGGACCCTGCATAGGGTTTCCAAGGCTGTAAATCTTTACCGGAGCAGAAACCCTTATCTTTCTCCTGCAGAACACCTGGTAATTTCAAACTGCTAAACTTGTGATTAGCAGCCCGACTTACAACCACTACCCTACCAAAGCAAAACTTCAGAAAGTTCATGGAAAAATGGAATTAAAAGATAATGGAATTTTTTCACAAACTTTTTGAAGCCCCCTGTATATGCTATATACCAGCCAGAAAAACATATTATGTACAGACAAAGAGTAAAAATGATAGCAGTTTTCTTCTCAGAAAAGATGTCAGTAAGAAGACTGTGGAACAATGTCTTTAAAGTCCTTAAAGAAAAAGACAAACTACAATTCTGTATTCAGTGAAAGGATATTTTTTAAATGAAGGCAAAATGAAGATTTTTCTGACATATGAAAGCTTAAAGTATTCTTCAGCAGCAGAATTGCACTACAAGAAATAGTAAAAGAAATCCTTCGGCTAAAAGAAGTCCCTCGGACAGAAATAAAATGACACCTCTGTACAAAAGAATGAAGAGCATCTGAAACAGATATGTGGCTAAATACAAAAGTCTTTGTTTAATAGTATTTAAATATCTTTAAACCATAATGACTGCTTAAAGACAATACAGTAACAATTGATTATAGAGAGTACAACGTACTCATATGCTGAAGTAAAATGTATGAAAACAACAGCATAAAGGCTAGGAGAGGAGAAAGTCACATCTTAATATGTAATATGGTATATTGATTTTGCAGAATTCTATCATGCAATATCCAGCATCATTATTGAGAAGTAAGTATTCCGGAACACTTAATTGTGCTCATGAGGAATCTGTACATAGACCAAGGGGCAGTTGATTGAACAGAACATGGGAACACTGAATGGTTTAAAATTAAGAAAGGTGTAGGACAGGGTTGTATTCTTTCACCATACTTAGTCATCCTGTATGCTGAGCAAATAATCCAAGAAGCTGGGTTACATGAAGAAAAACGTGGCATCAGGATTGGAGAAAGACTCATTAACAACCTGCGATATGCAGATGATACAACCTTGCTTGCTGAAAGTGAAGAGGAAGATCAAAGAGCACACCTTTGGTATGGATTGCATCTCAATGTAAAGAAAACAAAAAACCTCACAACTGGACCAATAAACAACATTCTTTTCAATGGAGAAAAGATTGAAGCTGTCAAGGACTTCATTCTTCTTGAATCAACTATCAACACTCACGGAAGCAGCAGTCAAGAAATCAAATGATATATAGCATTAGTAAAATCTGCTGCACAATACCTTTTTAAAGTATTGTAAAGCAAAGCTGTCAGCTTGAGGACTAAGGTGCGCCTGACCCAAGCCATGGTATTTTCAATAACCATATATGCATGTGAAGGTTGGACAGTAAATAAGGAAGACCATAGAAGAAGTGATGCTTTTGAGTTATGGTGTTGGAGGAGAGTATTGAAAGTGCCATGTTTTGGCTGCCCATAGAACCAACAGATCTGTGTTGGAAAAAGTGCATCCTTGGAGGCCACGATGGCCAAACTTTGTCTCTCATAATTTGGACACACTGTCAGGAGGAACCAGTTGCAGGTGAAGAATATCATGTTTGGTAAGGTGGAAGGTCAGAGAAAAAGAGGAAGACCCCCAGCGAGATGGCTTGGCTAAGTGGCAGCATCGATGGACTCAAGCATGGCAACAATAGTGAGGTTATCCCAGGATCAGGCAGTGTTTCGTTCTGCTGTGCATAATAAGGTCGCTATGCGTCAGCACCGACTCGATGGCACCTAACAACAACAATATGGTATATTACTTGAAGGTGATCCGTGATAAATTAAAGACATAGACAAAGGGGTTTCAAATACTTTGTAGAAAAAT